GATCATCAGTAGACAGTTCCATCTGATGGTAATACGAATCTCAATGGCAAAGGTGTTCTTCCTTTGTCAGGAACTCGGGGCCACTCAGCCATCTGCTGTTTTGGATCATCATGTCAACAGTCAGACCTCTGCTGGAACATCAGCAGGATTGAACTCAGAGTTTACGTATCTCCATCAGCTAGGTTCAGAATGTTCATGAATTACTGTCAGGGGGTTGGACACAAACGTGTGAAATCTGGCAGACTCATTTCTAATGTACTGGAGCACTGTAGTAGAATCCATCCAGAATACAGATTGGTGTAACAGTTTTTCACGCTCAGACTTGAGAGTCTCATCTAATTGAATGGCCAGAACTGCAGCTGAGAGTTCTAGGCTTGGGACTGTCATTGGCTTGATGTGCGCAAGACGGGACTTCCCAACGAGGAACGAACAGTAAGTGTTGTCTGTCAATCCACCATTCTTAGATATGAGACAGCACCAAATGCGAACTGTGGGGCATCAGCAAAATGATGCAACATGGTGAACTTTAACTTCCTGAGGTCTGCAGGTACCTCTTAACAGCCAATTGAGAAACTTTCGGCAGATCTTCTTTCCATTTTTCCCATCTTCGTTCTCACCAACTGGATCATCCCAGTCCAGCCTTTACTTGCGTAAATTTTGAAGTAGTTTCTTGGCAGGAAGGTTGATTGGCAATAGAAACGCAAGTAGATGGTAGATGGAACTTGTAAGAGACAGTATCCCTCTATGAGTGTTCAGCTTACTCTTCAGGGCATCGTCAAAAATGAACATATCCCTCTACATGTCCCATCTCAGGCCCAAGGTCCGTTCAACAGGAAGTCTTTCTTTGTCGAAGTCGAGGTCTAGGACTGAGGAAACTCTTGCACTCTCAGGTATAGTCTCCATAACTTCAGGTCTCTTACTAAACCGCTTGAGAAGCCGGAATCCACCCTCAGAGAGGAGATCTTGTAGCTGAGCTGCTAAGTTGACAGCCAGAGCAGATGATTCTACTGACTTAAAGAAGTTGTCCACATAAATGTTCTTCCTTACAGTCTTCACAACTTCTTTGTCAAATTCACCAATGTTATCTTCTGCTGCCTTCCTGAGAGCAAAGTTGGAACAAGCTGGGGACAAAGTGGCACCAAATAGGTGAACCCCCATGCAGTAGTCAACTGGTTCTTGATCCAGATCATTGTCCGGCCACCAGAGAAATCTAAACGCATCATAATCATCTGGTGACACTCTCACCTGGTGGAACATGGCTTCCATGTCTGCTGCAAGAGCTACTCGCTCTTGACGAAATCTTGTTAACATGCCCACGATACTGTTAGTTATGTCTGGTCCAATGAGGAGTTGGTCGTTCAAAGACATCCCTCTAAACTATGCAGTGCAATCAAAGACCACTCTCGTCTTTCCAGGTTTGTTGGGGTTAATCACAGGGTGATGAGGGAGATAACAGAGTGGTTTATCATTGATGACGAGCTCATCTTCTGGAATTCTCTTTGCTTGCCCCTTGATCATGTAATCTTGAGTGGTTGCTTTGTATTTTTCAAACAGCTTGGAATCTTGCAAGAATCTCTTCTTCAACAACTGTAGTCTTCGTTCTGCCATGACCCGATTGTTGGGAAGTTTAGGTGCTGGCTTCCTCCAGGGAAGAGCCAGTTGGTAATGGCCATCAACCAACTTGGCTGAACTCTCCATTACTGCTAGAGCCCTTTTATCTTCAACGGACATGGAAACCATGCAATCAGGAATCAGACCAGCATTGTCAGTCTTCAGAATCTTTCAAGTTGCTGAATGAGAACATCTTCTTTCTCAACACTTACTATTCTCGTAAAGTTCACACGGTAATAGCTATTCTTGCATTCCAGTCTGTCCATAGGGGCTATTAGCATCCGTCCCAGTGGTGAACGAATAGTGTATGGGTCACCTTTGTTGCCACACCTTTCTTCCAGTACCCAGAAGACCTCTAGGACATTGTATCCAATGATCAGGTCGACCTTAGTCCTGTCGATGCTTGGCAAATTAATGTCTTACAAATGACGCCGTCTTCTAATGTCTTGGTCGGTTGGAATGCTGTGGCTTGAGGCGTTTACCTTTTCAACAGTCCACAGTCTCTGGATTTCTAACTTGTCCGACCCGTCTATGACTTCAACTGTTAAGCTTATCTCTTGACCAAACTTAGGACTATCTTGCTTCTTTTGCTTTGTCAAGTAGAACGTTCTCAGTTCTCCTTGAATTCTCAGCTGTGCTGCCAGGCCTTTAGCACACAAGGAGACATCCAATCCGTTGTCAAGAAGGGCATAGGTCAACAGTTCCTTGTTCAGGTCCCAAATGCGAACCTTCACTGGCACTATCCTGAGGCACACTTTACCACTTCCGGCTAGGGTAGTGTTCAATTGTCCACCTTGGGTAGGGGGGAGACAGGCAGCTTGAGTAGCTCGAGCATCTTGTGAAGTCTTGCAACCATCAACTTGACATGCACCCATGGTTAGGCAGCCCCGAGAGATATGACCATATTGGAAGCAGTTGTGGCAAAGCTGAGCCTTCCTCATTGTCTGAACACACTCATCAAAGGTCTTTCTTTCAAAGTTTTGACATTTCATCAAAACGTGATTCCTGTTACAGGCCTGGCAAGCAAGGATCTTCGCATTTAAATGTACACTCCCTGAACCACACCTTGACTGGTTGCCTTGTTTGCCTGATGCGGTTCCTTGGTTGTTGAGCATGGTGATACAGGTGAACAATGGGTCACTCGATTTTAAACTTGGCTTTGGTTTAGTGCCACTCTGTTTATTGTCAGGTGTAATGTTCATAATGCTTCCAAATACTGCATTATTTGCTGCCCTTGCCTTTGCTGCTATGAACGCAGAAATGTCCTTAATGTTTGGTCTCTTACCAGATTGTTGAATAGAGTCTGCCACTTCAACGAACTTAGTACGAAGATGAAATGGCAACCTTTGTACAATTCTTCAGAGGTTATCCATGCTGTTGATTTCATCTAGATGACCCATAGACTCGAGGGTGTGCTCGCAGTTTTTTAGTTTGTCAGCAAATTCAAGTAGCCCTGAACGATCGGACGGCTTTATTTGAGGACCCTCAGTGATCCCGTTGTCAAACTTGGCAGCAATTGTATACGGATGAGCAAAGCGCTCCTTGAGCAATTTCCTTGCAGCCATATATCTGTTTGAAGGATCCATTACCACACAGGACTCAATTGTCTTCTTCGCATCACCCGTTGTGTGCTGCAGTAGATACACAAGCTTCTCTCTTTCATTCATTGCATTTCGTTCAACCGTATTCTCAAATGACTGGGAAAAACTCCAATACTACATAGGGTTTCCATCAAATACGGAGAGGTCTGGTTTGGACAACGTAAATTCTTGCCTTATCGTCAAGCCCAGCTTATCTAGCACATCTTCAATGATGGCAAAATCACTGTTAACTGCATCTGTAGGAAAGAGTTCAATATCCTGCTTGACTATGGGATATGAAAACTCCTTCGCATGAGGGTTGAGCCGTGAACTTGTGAAATTGTTATTGCCACGTTTAACTTTGGTCTTTTCAATGTGAGCTTTGACATCTTTCACTTTGGGTTCAACAACACGTTTTGAACTTACTTGTCCAGCACATGAACCAGGTTGTTTGAAAATGTTCAGTACTGCTCTGCCAAAGGTAGAATAATCTTTAAGGATCTTTACTTGAACAGCTGCCTGCTTGAGTTCATATTTTAAGCTTCTAGAAATTGACATTCTATTTTCACTTCCTCTTCTTTTCTCAAAAGGTCATGTTTTTCCTTCAGTTGTTCTATTTGAAGGCATGCCAAAGCTTCCTTGGCCTTTAACTGCTTAATAGATACACGTGTCGAGTTGCAACTTCAGAGAGAACCAGTCGTGCTTATGTGATCTTCCAGTCGGATCTCTGTTCCCTCTCGAGCTCTAGAATGAGATTTTGCTTTGTCGTTCCATCACTTGATATTTGAATCAAAAAGATCCTTTCACTGACAATGTTCTTGGAAGTAGTGTCCTTCACTTGCAATTTCCTCAAGATCTCCAGTTAGCGTTGCGATGTGCTCGTAATGGGCTTTCTCAAAATGAGCAAATGCTTCATTAACTTCTAACAGTTTCTTCAAAGTCCCGTTCGCAAACTCTTGATGTTGACAGTCTGGCCCTCTATCGCAGAAGGATTCCCAACCGTACGTTCACGAGTTAAATTTATACAAGAGCAAACAATTGTCAAATACTTGTGAAATGTTCGTGGCTAGTCTGACGTGAACGGGACTTTGGGCGTGATGCTCAACGAGTTTGCCTTTGAATTCTAAAGGTCTCTGAAGAGTCTCTTGGCCGAGACGAAATGCCACGTCAGACTAGCCACGAACATTTCACAAGTATTTGACAATTGTTTGCTCTTGTATAAATTTAACTCGTGAGCGTACGGTTGGGAATCCTTCTGCAATAGAGGGCCAGACTGTCAACATCAAGAATTTGCAAACAGGACTTTGGGTGTGATGCTCAACGAGTTTGCCTTTGAATTCTAAAGGTCTCTGAACAGTCTTTTGGCCGAGACGAAACACCGCGTCAGACTAGCCACGAACATTTTACAAGTATTTGAATGAAAAAATGGACACAAAAATATGAAACGTTATGTAACCCAAAATAACTGGTGAAACTAATTAGAATAACAAATATACACCAAATAATTGAAAAACGGAAAACAGTGGACAAAAAACATGATGGCAAAACAAAATTGAGGCGCCATGACTACAACCATACCCTATTTATGACCAAAATGGCCAAAGTCAGTTAAAATCAATACCCTAGTAATGACCAAAACGGCTGAAAAACCATACCCTTTGGGGCCGCACATACCTATATAGCACATATAAGAGAGTACCCCCCCCCCACCCGCTGGGTTCCACTGTAATCTGAGCTAGGCTGACAACACTCTTGTTCATGCCTAACACAATTATGTTGACTTCACTCATTTTGTTACAATTGGCATAGACTGGAACATTGACTGAAGATGGTCTGGACCTGCTGGGAGTTGTACCAGTCAAAGCTGCAAGGTATCTTTCCACAAATGTTTTTTCCTTCTGTGCTCACTACTGTTGTTTGTATGTTTTGCATATATTTAGGTGGCTCTTCACAAAAGGATTAAGACTATTCAAAATTGTTTCAAATCATATGAAAGCAACTATTCTACATAATTTTATTACTTTTTGTTTCAACTTGTCCAGAAAAAGAAATGCCTTAAAGCCTCTTACTGACATTATCATTATAAATGGACTTTTCCATAAACATTATGTGTTTTTACAAAAATAATACAGATTTTTAATTTTTTTTTTTAATTAAGGGTTATCTGGGGCAAAATAGTTTGAAAGTCAGACTTGTTTAGACTTAATCAGCAGTTAAATAACAGGTTTCTATTGTCAGAATAGCCTAGAAGCAAGCTCATGTTTGGGCTACACACACAAATGGCGAAGCTCTAGTAATAGTTTAGCAAACCACAAGATGGACAGGTCACGAAACACCCTGGTAAAATCCTCGCAAGCGTGTGGCAAGAGGAGGGAAGCATTGAAGTCCTGAAACGCAGCTATATCCAAATATATCCAACTAGTGTTTTGCTGTGCTATGGAAAAGCTGTTAATCTTCAACATATGTGAAAGGTAGAGTGGAGTAATGTGGAGCTCTTGTAAAAGACGCAGCGGAACACAACTTGCGCAGTGATATAAAGCAGGACATAACTAAATTCAACACTGTCTTGCTTCACTCAAACTGGAGCAGCTTACGACAAAAATTCTGAGGCAAAATTCCAACAGACATAAATGTGTTGAGTTGCAGGCCAAAAGCATCGAACATTTTGGGAATTTTGGATGTGGTTTCCCCGTGCTACATCTGCAAAAATCCTTGTAGCGGTATCCACGTGTGCCTCAAACGATGGCGCAATTTGTTCTAGAAATAGAAAAATTGTCCCATATCAGAGGGACAGCCCCAATGCTAGAAATGGCACATGCTTACGGTCTCCATCTCCGAATATGGTTCCTGATGTAAAAGATGATAAATAGCATTAATGAAAATAAAAAACTAAAGTGTTAGAGAGAGAAAGAAAAGGAGATAAAGGCAGACAAATAGTTTTAGTGCAAGGTTGATTGTGTGGAGTTTGGGACACCTAAATGGTTTATGGAACTAATTGAGGAGGTGCTGCAAAGTAACTAAATTTAGCAAAAGGAATACAGTGTTAAATAACCAATTTAGGTTAAAAGTATTTCTTTAAAATCTAACTACAAAAAAATTAATTACATTTCAACTTAAGAACTAGTAATATTATTACAACTGTCAATAAATTTTTTTTTACAGTTTTACAAAATCTAGAAAATGGAGTAATTTGCTTGATAGTAATTGGTAATGAGTTCCAGAGGTTGGCACCAGTGTAATGAAGAGAGCAAATACCATATTGGGTAGTTCAAATTGATTTTAAAAACAAATTTTCATTCAGTGACTGACATGTAAAACACTTATGTATCAAGATATCAGTTTGAAAAAATCGAAAAAACATAAAGGGGTCAGTTTATGAAACCACTGATAAACAAAAGAAAGGATTTTTGAGTGAATTATATCATTAAATTTTAACAGATTAGAAATTTCAACAATGGTTCTGAATGTGACACAGGTTCTGAGAATGTCATAATCTAGCTATTCGCTTTTGCAAAGTGGTAACAGGCTTGAAGTAGGTTGGGTATGTTAAACCCCACACTTGAACAGTGTAGATGAAAAAGGGATAAATTGATGAATAATAGCGCATAATAAGGATATCAGTGCTGACATAGTACCTCAATTTTGAAAAATTCCTACAATGAGTTCTTTTTAGTTTTAAGCAGAGTTCATTAATACATGTATGATTCTTCCAAGTAAGATTTGAGTCAAAGGTAACACCTAGATATTTAACAGTAAAAACTTGCTTGATATTTACTCCATCAATTTTTAAATTAAATGACTTACTTAGCTTCAATTTCTTTGAAAAAAAATGAAATTAGTTTTTAAATTACTGAGTGCTAACCTGTTGAATTCATCCATTTGGCAACTATGATTTAGCTTTGATTCAAGATCATCAAGGCTCTTACATGAGCAGTAGATGTTAGTGTCATCAGCAAACAAGCAAAAGTAAGCAAACTTGAGGTGTTACTTAAGTCATTAACATATAACAAGAAAAGCAAAGGTCCAAGAACAGATCCTTGAGGAACACCACAAGTTAAAGGTAGGGAGTCAGAATCACGACCATCAACACGCACAAACTGTTCTCGGTTGGAAAGGTAAGACTGGAACCATTCATAGGCTTTGCCTCACACTCCATAATGATGCAATTTCAGCAAAAGGATAGAATGATTTACTGTATTAAAAGCTTTTTTAAATCAATAAAGATACCCCATCCAAACTCCTTATTGTCAACAGAAGAGCAAATTGATTTGGCAATACCTATAAGTGTATGATTAGTTGAGCATTTCTGTCTAAAACCAAACAGAAGTGAGTAGAGAATGTTATAACATTCCAGATAGGCATAGAGGTGATTATACATATACTTTCTCAAATATTTTACTGGAAACAGATAGGACTGATATTGGCCTATAATTATCTTTGCCTTGTGTAGAACCTTTCTGAAAGACTGGTGTTACTTTGGCCAAGTTATGTTTTTCAGGGAAAATACCACAGAAAAGATTCATTGACTAGGCATGATAGAAGTGGAGCAATGTGAGTCTTAAGGATTTTTGGCAAGGGTACTGGGATACTACAGGGACCAATGGATTTCTCATTGTCCATTTGAGATATGTAGGATTCAACTTCGTATGAAGTAATAGGAGAGAGAAACATTGAGTCAGGGAAATTCCCTTGAGAAAAGAAGTAGGACAGTAGTTCCCATGGGATATATTAGAAGGAAATCATGTTAGATGTTGTTATTTTCTCTTGTCAACTGAGACAGGATGGATTCAAGATGTTCTTTAAATCTCACAGGATTAAATGAAGGATGACTGTAGGCACAGCAGCATTAGATATTTTTAGCTTTTGTGTTATTAATTTCAACCCAAACAGCTTCAAATTCATCATCAGTTGTGCTCAGGTCAGTTTGCTTAAAGGCATTTAAAGATTTACTAGCATAAATAGCCACACCACCAGCAGCATAGCTGGAAGGCTGTGAAAAGAGGGTGAAACCATTCAGATTATTGTTCATTTTAACACCAGCTGAATAGTTTTCTCTGGTTTCACTAATACCTATGACATGGAAGGGAAAATTCAGGGATGCAACTGTAATTTGTAAGTCATTCAAATGAGCATCAAGACTGTTTAGATTTATGTAAAATAAAGTAAAATAAGGGCTTGAAGATAATAAACTTAGTTTCTGAAAATCTGATCGGTAATAATACACGGAATTTATAGGAATTACAAGGTAGGTATGTTTGACTCAATGTAAGAGTTGCCTAGATTGCTTAGATCAGATATTGCAGACATTACATCAATGGGGGGGAGTAATAGTTCAATGTCTGAAGGTTTCTTAGAATGCATGTGAGTGTCAAATTCAAATTCATCTAAAGATGTAAGGGGAAAAATATCAGAAATACATGTTTTACAGAACCATACCTCCATATTCAATTGCAGATGTTGGTAGTCATCAAGGGTTAGACCATTGCATCTATAATGGATTCAGAGATGACAATTACCACATTTAATTGCTTGATGGTTACTGTTCACCCATTTAGGGCATATGCCACAAGGGAACTTAAGGTTTTGCTTAGATGTTATGCTGTTCACTCATTATGTTATAGAGATTAACAAGTCTGTAAATCATTTTGACCAGAGATCGAAGGATCGCAGGCCATAGCACCTGATCCATTTGGTCTGTCTTTTATAATGAGCTTATCGAGGGAGAAATAAGCAATCATTTCTTGCACTTTTGCTTGTTTTAGCTGTGGTAGCTGGGCTCTTCTTTTTTCCATCATCTCTTTGGCCAGGTCGTCAAAGATGTGGATTCCTTTGGGTTTTATTCTTCTTGCTGCCTTGAGAATTGATTCCTTTGCCTTGTAACTGGTAAACTTACAGACAACCTTTCTTGGTTTAGGAGTACCATCATGTCTTGTTGGGGCGACCAATGGGTACAATGGGTACAATGGGTGCAATGGGTATGCTCGATTTCAGGAACCGACTTGAGATTTAATTTGTCAACACGAACTTTGTTTACTTTCTCTTCAGTTGTTTTCCAGGTTTTGCCATGATCTTCTAATAAGCCTTCTAAGTGGAGATTGTTCCTCCTGCTCTGGTTTTCTAGGTAAACCGTCTTTTGTAGATGCTTGTTTACTGTTGTTTGAAGGATGGTGACATTGCTGGTAGTGATCTTTAATTTGGTGTCAATGGTTGCGAGTTGCTCATCATAGCTTGCAATATCTTTTTGGCTGAACTCCAGACTGGATTTTAATCCCACGTAGTCTTTTACTAGATTGTCAATACAGGAGGTTAAATTGGACACAACAGATTCCATGAATGATTTAAACATACATTTTTGAGCTTTCAGAAGATCTTGAAGAACACATGAAGAAATGGTCTCTGGCAGATCATCGTATTCTTCGGCTTCTGCAGACAGCGAACTTGGTTTGCACTGATTACTCTTTTTTGTAGACATAATAGTGTAGATATATAGCAGTTAGAACTGAAGGAATACTCAAAAAGTGGTTAAATTTTAAGTGAATTAGCTTTGTCAAGGGAGGGGGGGAGCGAAAAAACACAACTGCCATCTTCGCTGACTGCTGACAGCACGAGGGAACAGGAGAAGTAATATGGCATTTAAGAAGAAACCCATCAGATGTCCTGAACAACATACGTACAATCGGAGCTTACGATGGACACGCGTTTCTTATAAATGACATTGGAAGGCTAGGAAGGGTGTGTGCATTTGTTCATTGTCTTGCTAGATTCACACAAGCTTACAACCGTCAATGACACATTCAAACATGCTCTCCGGGACAAACAACTATCAAATGTCTAAATGAGAGAGTTGAATTGTCACAGACAGTATATGAGA